GAGCGCGGGGCCCTTTTCATTTTCCATTGCCTGGGAGGTGCCCGCGGTCCCGTTTGCCTCAAACGAGATTTTCCATAAATGGTTTCTGGTTCTGAAATGAGGAACCTGGAAGTAGCAGCCTCAGGGTCGGTTTCCTTCAGTGTGGGATCAGGGGAAGCGCCCGTCTGTCCCACTCAGACGCTGCAGGCCCGGTGCACGGAGGCTGCAGGCTGGCTCCGGGGGAGGTATCGGTTCTCCTTCCCCCGCAGCCCTGCCGGAAGGGTGGCAATGGCCTCCCTGTGCCGCAGGCCCTTTGCAAGTCGTAACTTCCTTTTCTGGAGATGACAACTCCCAGTCACTTAAGTGGCTGAATTGTTGCCTCGAGGGTTTTTAGGTTGGCCCGGAGTGCTTTGCTGCTCTGGTTGTCCCAGCGTTCCCCCGGTGCGGGTGTTCCTGTCCTGTCCCTGCTGAGCAGAGGCGGTTTCCTGTGTTCCACTACCGGGACGAGTGTACGGGTGGGTGACGCTCTCGGCGGTGTCCGCGTCTGCAGCCCGGTTACCCACGTGTCCGGGGTAGGACTGAGGGAGTTTTTAAACTCGTGACTTTGTGAGAGTATAGAACCTCCTGCTCATGCCTTTGGTTTTGCTCTTGATAGTTAACACCTTGTAGGTGAACTGAGTCCTGGGTTATGTCATGAGCAATAAAAAATTTAAACCCCCGCCCTTACATCTCCAAACTGCCGAGTGCCTGGAAGGCACCAGACTGGCTCAGAGTCCTTCGCCCCAGAGCTGTGAGCCAGGGGCAGGGTGGAAGTTCTCTGGGACGCTCTTACAAAGCGACAGGTGCAGTGGCATGATCCGGCTGTCCCCCCTGTCAGAGGGCAGCACTCGGCCTCAGGAAGTGTCAGCGAGTCACCAGTTCCTCCTTTGCCACTAATGCGCCCTCCCCTTCTCTCCCCTGCCGCCGCAGCCGTCCCAGCCCCATTTCTTTCGGATCAGCCTCCCAGGTGCCAGCCTGTGTCTGAAGCAGCAGCACAGCTTGAGCCGGTTTAAGCAGTTCTGGCTCCTCATCCTCAGAGTGCAGCAGCGTTTGTAGCTGCACAGTGAACTGGATCAGCAGACTGATCTGGCTGGAAAGTAGCCCCGCAGAAACGGTTATTAACTGGATTAAATTCCAACCGAGCTTTCCCTTGCGCCACGGGGGAAGGAGGAAGGGTGGGGACCGCTCGACTTGGCGCTGCTGCGTGTCCACGGCTGCGCGGTGGCCTCACGGACATCCGAAGCCAATTCGCTCGTCTGAAGAGACTCTGACTGACTCTGCTTTCAGTAGTTCCGTGGGATCTTCGTCCCGGGTAGGAAGAAGCCGCTGTCTGCCTGAACACAAACGGGGTTATGTTCCCAGCAGTTTTTCTGTCTGGCAGAAGGTGGGGCTCTTGCATTCGCTGCTGCCACCTCCTGGGTCCTGCGTGAAAAATGCTGGGAGAATCCAGGAGAAACTGCTGACTTGAGGAAGCAGTGAAGGCAGCTGCGTGCAAATTCCCAGGTGGGAAGTGATTCAGCTTCCTGCCGTTTTCCGCAGGCTTCTGTGACCTGCAGGGGTCTGAGACGAGCCCGGGCCGTTTCCCTCCGTGTCTCTCCAGGGCCGAGGACACCCACCTCCTGTAATGTGCCAGCCGTGGCGGAGCTCGCAGTGGCTCTGTGCAGTCTCGCAGGGCAGTGGGGCCTCGAGAGCCGCAGAGGCACCGGCTCTGGCGTTCTGCGACTTGCCTGGGCCCTAGGAGCCAGAGAGCTGCCGTGGGAGGTGCTGAGCAGGGCTCCCGAGCCTCTCCTGAGTGTCAGAAGGAGCTGAAGAGAAACATCCTTCCAAACACCTCAGAGCAAGGCCTGAGGTTTGAGGTGTTGAGCTCCCGTGTGCGGCTGCAGGTCGGCAGCGTAGCGGGCGGGTTTCTGTGACAGAGCTGGGCCCTCAGAGGGACTGTGTGCGGGGGGATCCCTGCAGACGGGACACGCGGGTGAGGTTCTCTCATGTCAGCTCACACGCGATCGAGTCCCTTGGCTTGGCGTAGCAGTGTGACGGCTGGAAAAGCTCTGCTTTACTAATCTCGAGCTGTAATAAACACTTTGTCTGAGAAGCCTGAAGGGCGAGGTTGGGGCCCTCATAAAAGTTTCGTTGTGATTAGGAGTCTCCGTCCTCTCTGGCTGCGTGTTTGGAGAAGTACCCGAGGCGCAGTGACCCGCGGTGACGACAGGCCCTGCTCTGCGCTGGGGGTGGCAGCTGCAGCCCGGCCCCCCGGCTCTGGGTCAGGGTCCCTCTCGACCCCCGCCCGGCCGGGCTGCAGGACCCTGCCCTGCTCCGGCGCAGCCCGGTCAGAGGCGCTGCTGTGAGCAGGGCAGCCTGGGCCGGAGGGGAAGTGCTGTTTCTCCAGGGCCCCCTCGGGGAGCTGAACCCTGGGCTGCTGCTCCGAACAGGGGTTGGGTTGCTCCGGTTTTGGTCTCTGTGGGGCTTTTGTCCTTTTAGAGATCCTGCGAGGACTGGGGTGGTTCCTGATCAACCTGTGTGGTGGCGCGTGTGATTGCGTCTTTAGCTCTGGATCCCAGGCTTAGGGCTAGAGGCACAGGAATGCAGCTGCAGAGCTGGGGATTTGGGGCGTTGATTTTTTGTTTGTTTGTTTCCTGTGTCCTCTGTAGCATGATTGCTGCTAAATACCGGTTTGTGTGAGGGGTTATCCTAACGGAGCTGATGAAGATCGGGTGATGGTGGGAGGAAGCTGTTGCCCCATCGGTTCGTTATCGGTGGGTGGTGGCTCTGTGCTGGGGTGAGACCAGACTAAGGCACTTCTGAACTGCTCGGGACAGGGTACCCGACCCTGGCAATCAGCTGCTCCTTCAGCTGCTAGAAATCTGTCCCTGCTGGGGGGAGCCACTGCCCCAGGGCTGCTCCTCCGCTGCGTGCACGCGCTGCCTTCGGCGAGCCCGGCTGTCTGACGGCTCCTGTGGGCTGTGCCTGCGCCGATCGGGCCGTCGCTCAGGAGTTTTGTTTCTGCTTGGTGTGAACATTGGAACGTGGTCACACACCTGCGGGTGCTAACGCTGCGGAAAGGGACACGGCACTGCCGGGGACGTGCGTGCGGGCAGCGGGGGATCATCTGCTGTCTGTGCGTCTGTTTGTTACCTTCGTGCTTTCAAAGAGGGCTCGAGCCCAGGGAGCTTGGGAGCCAAGAGGAGTCAGTGACCTGGGGCTTCTTTAAAGCTCTCACCCAAAGTCCGTCACTTCTGTTTCCCGAGAGCTACAGGGGTCTCTAGGGGGAAGGTCCGGGAGTTCTTCAGCGTGTGGCCAGAAAACAACCCGCAGCCCCTGGGAGGTGAAGCGTGGCCTGGAGCGAGCCGGAGGCTGCGTAAAGGGATCGAGCACTAGAACAGACCCTCGAGAGAGCGTTCGCTCGGCGCTCCTGCGGGTCCTCGAGGCTGGAGGCTTTTTGGGAGCACAAAGGAAGAGACGGGGTTTGATACGGAGATGCCAGGGTGAAATCTAATCAGTTGTTCACGTATGACGTGAGATTAAATGGCTTTTTGAATGCAAATTTCCATGATATTCGGTGCCAGGATATTGGGGAAAGCCGTGCAGAAGGGCAGCAGCTTGTTGTGGTGTGTAGGGGCGGAACCGGCGGTGGCTGGACTGTAAGTGCCAAGGTGCCATGGGAAAAGCTTGTGCCACAGAGCCAGAGGCCTTGTCATAACCCCAAAGTGTCACAGCGTCCCCCCACCTTTGGTGCTAAATCTTAGTCAAGCTTTAATGCCCAGAAACGCCAGCTGCATCCAGTGGAAGCGTCCTCCCCTGAGGCAGCCCCTGGGGACGCGCTGCCAGCCCAGGACGAGGCAGCGAGTCTGTTGGCAGGTGAGAGCGGGGCCCGCCGGGGGCTGCAGCTTCGCCTCGGCACCGTCTCCCTGGGAGCTGGTCTGGTGCCTCCCCCGGGACCCTGGCAGGGGCCGGTCACCCCTTCTCGCTGCCCTGTTCCTTTTCTCTCACCTCTGCCCCTTGGCTGACGGGTCGGCTGCAGTCCTCTCTTCTTGTGGAGGTGGGCGTGCAAAATTCCACTTTCTGTGTCTGATCTGTCTCCTTTGCCCCGTTCAGAACATTCCCAGAACATTTTGCCCCAACAGAACATTCTTAATATTTATGTCTAAAAATCTCCGTGGAGCTCGGGTGGCACCTCCGCTGTCGTGCTGTTACGGGCATCGCCAGGCTCCGACTGGACGTGGAGCCAGCCTGGCTCCGGCCGCAGCAGAATGTGCCTTGTGTCACTGTCAAACGGGCTCCTAAACCCGGCGGTTAACGCCAGCGCTGGGGCGTTTCTCTGCCCTCTGGGGGGCAGCTCTGGGTAGAAGCGGAATAACGGAGCTGTGTGTTACAGTGTCCGCTCGCTCGGAGACGGAAAGAATGGGAGACGGATATAAGGCTTGCTCAGTGTAACCTGTATGAGCAGCTTCGGGGGCGCCCGGATGGTAATTGAGCCCATGTTTCAGTGCACGTGCGCGCTTGTGGCGTTTGCAGCAAATGTTGCGGCTCTTGATTGATTTGGAAGGTGGATGCCAGAGCAGCGACCGCAGCTCCGCAGTCTCGCGTGTGCTAGCGCCAAGCTCCAGGCGGGAACATGGAGCGGGATGCGGGAATGCCAGATAATGACAGAAACACCTCGATGCGTCATTGGTGAAAGATTTTGCTTGTACAAAAAGCCTTTCAAAAGCTGACAGTGAAAGAGTTTTTCAGGTCTGTAGAGAGTCCAAGGTGGTGTTTGCCGTAGGGAGACCCTTTGAGAGCGACCCCGTGGAACGTCAGGAAGTGCTGGGGATGCCCTTGGCTTCGGCTGAGGGTTTCCGCGGGTGTTGGCATCACCTTTCACCAGCTCTCGGCGTGCAGCTGGGTGTTTCCTGGTCAGAGTCGTGGAGAGCTGAGCCAGATTTTAATCCCTTATCTGTTTCACTGGCCGCGCGTGACGCGGATCTTTGAAAAGGACCGAGCAGAGACCAGCCGAGCCCGGTGTCCCCGTCCACTGCTGTGTGGCGCAGGGCGGAGTGGTGTGATCTGGGTTATGAACCCCGAGCTCCAGATCGCAGCAGAGGCTCCCGGCACTTGTGCTGGTGGAGGGGCAGAGACCAGTTCTTGGCTGGAACCGGAGGGTGTGGAGGACAGAGCTGAACTGGGTTTATAGTGGGCTCGGGTTTATTAAGAGTGAAACCTCACCTGGTTGATCTTGTGGAGGAGAGTGTTTTCTCTACAGCTTGGGGTATTTACCTCTCCCAGCTTATAAGTAAAGCACCAAGGTGGAATTTTTCCTCCCTCCTGTGTGGGCCTCCATGGGCTGCATATGAGCGCTGGCCCGCAGGAGGGCTCTGGGGTGCTGCGGGCCCTCAGCAGGGCTGTGTCCCTGGAGGGTGCCCTGGGGACAGCCCGGGTGACAAGAGGGAGCCTGTGGCGGAGCGGGTCCAGGGAGGCCTGGGGGGTGATGAGGGGCCGCGCTGCGGGAAGCAGCTGGAGCCACGGGGGGTGCAGCCACGCTTCTCCTCCCCACTTCAGTGTAAGTCGCGAGTGTGAGGATGGCAGAGCAGGAGCCCACGGCGGAGCAGCTGGCCCAGATTGCAGCTGAAAATGAGGAGGACGAACACTCTGTCAACTATAAGCCACCTGCCCAGAAGAGCATCCAGGAGATCCAGGAGCTGGACAAGGACGATGAGAGCCTGCGCAAGTACAAGGAGGCACTGCTCGGCGCCGTCACCGTCACTGCAGGTGAGCACACGGGCCTGGCCCTGCCTGGTCCGCCCGCCCCCCAGCCTCGCCCCGGCTCTGCCTGGGGCTGATCCCGTCCCAGCTCCGCCCGGAGACCAGCGCAGAGGGGCACGGACACGGGAGTCAACGCAGAGACTGGGGGTGGCACCGCCTTTAGACTGGGCCCAGCGCAGCAGGAGCCCACACCTTCACGGGGGGGTTGTTCTCGCTGGGTTTCTTGCTCTTCCAGGAGGTGCCCTGGAAGGAGAAGGCGCTGTGCTGGCTGGTCCTCGGGTGGGTGTCCAACAGCCTTTTTGCTTCTCTTCTAGATCCCAACGCTCCAAACGTGGTGGTGACAAAACTGACTTTGGTCTGTGCTACTGCTCCTGGCCCTCTGGAGCTGGACCTGACAGGTGAGCCCGGAGGGGAGCCCGGCCCTTGTCCGGGTGTTGGTGGGCCTGGCCCAGAGCGCGGCAGTGGGTGCAGCCCTCCCCGTGGCACCAGAGCCTGTGCTGGTGCGGGGGAAGGCGCCCGCAGGGTTCTGTGCTCGGAGCCCGGCGGCTGCGTCCCCCGTCACAGCAAAAGGCCCCCCTGGGTTCTGCTCCCCAGCCAGCCCTGGGCCAGCTTCCCGACAGCGGCAGCCTGGGCGCAAATGTCCACAGGGGGACATTCTGGAATGAACTGCAGTGCTGCGCTGCAGTGTCCCCTTGCAGGGTGGCCTGGGCAGCGCCGCGAGGAGGGTCCCGTCAGGCAGAAGTGAGAGGGTGGCCCGTGTGCTGCCCAGGCCATCAGGGTCATCCCCTGCGACCGCAGATTCTGTCCCAATCGCCTCCTGCGACTTGAGTTCACCCCAGAGCACGAAGCGAAGGGACCCTGAGCAACCCTCCCCCTCCCTTGCAGGTGACTTGGAGAGCTACAAGAAGCAAGCGTTCGTGCTGAAGGAGGGTGTGGAATACCGGATAAAAATCTCCTTTAGGGTAAGCATTCGGATCTGAAAAGTGAAGGGGGAGTGGAACACGGGGCCGGTGCTGTCCCAGCGCGGGGAGAGCCTGAGCCCCGGGAAGGGACCTGGTGGAGGAAGTGGCCTCCTGCTGCGGGTGGGGTGGGCAGCGTCTGCAGGAGGTGTCTGCTACCGGCCCTGCCTTGTCTCTGCAGGTGAACAGGGAGATCGTGTCAGGGTTGAAGTACATTCAGCACACGTTTCGGAAAGGCGTGAAAAGTAAGTGCTTGTCTGGGGCTCGGGCGCTGCTTCGCGTGAGACATTCCTGCTCTGCCGGCCGCGGCGATGGGGCCAGTGCCCCGACAGCTCCTCGGAGGATCGGATGGTCCCCGGCCGCCGCCGGGTCCCTTGCCGAGGGCTGGGGGGTGACGCCCCCACCGCTGGGGCTGTTCCTGGCGGGACGGGGCCGTTAACACGGGTGACGGTCTTGTCTTGGCAGCTCCCCCGCGGGTGGCTGTAGCAGTCACAGACCTGTCGTTTGCTTTGGCCTCCCCCCAAGCGCAGGGGAGGCGCTCGAGCAGCCCCCACACGCCTCTTTCTCCTTCTAGTTGACAAGACCGAATACATGGTTGGGAGCTACGGCCCCCGGGCAGAGGAGTACGAGTTTCTGACCCCCATGGAAGAGGCCCCTAAGGGCATGCTGGCCCGGGGCAGCTACAACATCAAGTCCAAGTTCACAGATGATGATAAGACTGACCACCTGTCCTGGGAGTGGAACCTGACCATCAAGAAGGATTGGAAGGACTAGCCCTTCCCGAGGCCAAACCCCAGAGAGCGTGAATCAGACAGTGGCTACCGTAGAAATCCCCCCCTGTACCAAAGTGCTGACATTGGAACCCTCTCACCTTCCACCCCCGTTATAATTTGACCGGAGAGCTCGGTTTTGTAACATGCCCCCTCCCCAGAGAACCACTGAGTGCATTGACCAAACCGTGCTGCCTCATCTGCTCTCCAGCTGCCCGTCCCTGGGCTGTGCTGGCCCCGCGCAGAGGCGGGAGCGCTCGCTCCCTCGCCAGGCCCTTCCCCTCCTCGGGTGGGTGCTGGCGGGATCAGCTCCTGCCGTCCCGCAGGATCCTGCGCCTGGCTCCCGCACATGGCTCAGGGTAGCTCCTCCTCCACGTAGCTGAAGAACTTTGATGCCAGGCAGCTCTTGAATCCATTTGTGGCTAAAATCATGTCCGGCCTCCCCTCCGCCCCGTCAGTGTCCCGGGAACACTGGCAGCTTCATTTGTGGATGTTCCCTGTAACCATGATGCCTTAATGTGTAACACGTGTCCTCTCGGGAGGGGGCCCCGCCCCTGTTACACTTTTTAAATGCCCCCACCCTGCCCCCGTTCCCTGGCATGGTGCTCGGTCACGCCCCCATGGGTTATTAGGAAAGAGTCACAACTTCCCGCTTTGCTGCCGGGGCGCGGCCGGGCGTCACCCGGGATGTCA